CAAGAATACTGGAGTGGGTAGCCATTCCCTTCTCCAGGGGATCTTCCCGACCCAGGAATTGAACCCTGTTCTCCTGAATTGCAGGCAGATTCTTTACCATCTGAGCCACCAGGGAAGCCCCTCCCCCCTTCAAAAGACCTCCCTTTACTGTAAATTGTCCTCAGCCAATCCCACAGTTAATGTACTTCCTTTCCCAGTCTACAGAGAAAGCTGATTCCATTTTTCACCTTCCATCCACTCCTCAACTCACTTTAATTGGGCTTCCACCTCCACCACGTCACTGAAACTGCCCTTATAGAAGTTACTAAGGAATTCTCTGTTGCTCAGTGTAATGATTATTTTTTATGGCTTTACTTTAACTCAGCCTTTCAGGCAGCAATCAACACAATTCAGCCTTCTGTCCTTTAAACACTCTCTTTTCCTGGCCTCCTTTTAACCCCACTTACAGGCTGCTATTTTTCTGTTACATTTGTGTGCTCCTCCTCCTTTTTCTGGCTGTGAATGCTGTTAGTTCTCAAGATTGGCCCAGGCTTCTTCCCTCCTCATTACACTCTTAGACATTCTCATATACACCCATGATGCAAATTATGTTATTTACAGATGACTCACAAATGTGTCTCATCAACCAAGACCTTTCCTCTGGCATTTATTTTGATTCTGTGCTTACTATCTTGGAGTCTCAAACGCACTGCAGTCTCAGTATGTCCAAAAAACCAGCTCACTTTTTCTAACCCACCTTTCACTCTGCCCAACCTGGTTGTCTTTTGGTGTTCCCTGTTTCAGTGATTAGTATCACTGACATCAAGTCTAAGCAGCAACACATTTAAGGGGGAAGGACCCACTTAACCAGTTCATCACTAGACATGTCTATTTGTAGAGTTTTTAAATATCTTTTAATTTTTATTTTATGTTGGAGTATAGTTGGTTTACAAGATTGTGTTAGTTTCAGATAGATAGCAAAGTGATTCAGTTGTACGCATACATGTATCTGTTGCTGTTGTTTAGTCACGGAATTGTGTCTAACTCTTTTGCTACCCCGTGGACTGTAGTCTACAAGGTTCCTCTGTCCACGGGATTTCCAGGCAGGACTACTGGAGTAGGTTGCCATTTTCTTCTCCAGGGGATTTTCTCGAACCAGGGACTGAACCTGCAACTCCTGCAATGGCAGGCTTATTCTTTACTGCTTAGACACCAGGGAAGCCCATACATGTATCTGTTCTTTTCTTCAAATCCTTGTCCCAATTGTTTTTGTTGTTCGGTCACTCAGTCCTGTCCAACTCTTTGGACCCGGTGGACTGCCTCATGCCAGGCTTCCCTGTCTTTCACTATCTCCCAGAGTTTGCTCAAACTCGTGTCCATTGAGTCCGTGATGCCATCCAACCATCTCATCTTCTGTTGCCCCCTTCTCCTCCTGCCCAGTTTAGGTTATTACAGAGTACTGAGCAGAGTTCCCTGTACTATACAGTAGGTCCTTGTTGGTAATCTATTTTAAATATAGCAATGTGTACCTGTCAATCCCAAACTCCCAGTGTATCTTCCCCCAAAGTCTTCCCTCCTGGTAGCCATAAGTTTGTTCTCTAAGTGTAAATCTGTTTCTGCTTTGTAAATAATTTCATTTATATCATTTTTGTTTAGATTCTGCTTATAAGCGATATCACATGACATTTCTTTCTCTGACTTACTTCTTTAAGTATGATCATCTTTAAGTCCATCCATATCGCTGCAAATGACATTATTTCATTCTTTTTAATGGCTAAGTAATGTTCTATTGTATATATGTATTACATTTTCTTTATCCATTAATCTGTTGATGTACATTTAGCTTGCTTCCATATTTTGCTGAATTTAATTTCCATTAATTCCATTTAAAAATGCTTCTTGAAGTTGTCTACTTCAAGTTTTTTTCACCTAGCAGCCAGAATGATGTTTTAAATCTCCAAATCCAATTGAGTCACTCAGTTGCTTAAAATCTTCAAATGGTTTCTGTATACTTTAGGATGAAACAAGGAGTCCATAATCTAGTCTACAAATTCTTCATGTTCTGGCCTCTAACTACTTCTCCAGTTTATTTTCTTTTGCTTTTTGTGCTTCTAACTCATTGGATTTCTTTTAGTTCCTCCCAATCTTCATGCACTCTTCTACCAAGTACCTTAGGGTATGCCTTTCGCTCTGCATGGAATCCCCTTTCTTGCTCTTCCTCTAGCTAGTGCCTATTCAGTATTCAGGTATAGAAATCATCTTTTCAATGCAAGTATTATTTGACTTTCCAATGAAGTCAAATTTCTATTGCACACTGTCCTAGGCACCAAGAAGCCAATAATATAATGTAAGAGACAGCATGTCTAAACAGTCCACAGAGTTTGGCAGAACAACCAACATCCAGAAAATCCTTACTATACTGCAAAGACTGTATTAATGTCAAAAAGCAAAAGAGGAAATGTAACCCTGGGGGAATTGTGAGTGTATCTAGTTGTCTATTCCATGTGAAGCATTCCAGTCCTTTTTCTTGACTGAAATAAAAAAGAATACGTCCTTTAAGTTAGTGATCAGGTACTATATACTTGAGGCCATAATTAACCTGCTCTCATAAATGTTCAGTATGCTGACTGAAATTGGGGTTGTAACTTAGTTGAGCTTGCAGTGGTGTGCTATCATTCTCCAGAACCTGACTGGCTAGACACATGGAGGCCTGGGGGACTACCACTCCTGCATCCCTGAGACACTTCAGAGTGGTACTAATCCACTCAATCTTCCCTGGGATGCAGTGTTGTTTCTATCTAGACTTGTGGATAGAAGTTGGGGAACTTTAGAGACCTCCACTTGGCCCTCCCTGCTGTCATATCCTTACCCCACGTGCTAAGTGTTATTCCAAATGCCAAGTATGTCAATGCCAATTATCCATTCAGGAAGTGGGGAAATAACTACCAGGGTGGGTGCACAGACCTTGTATACAGATTTTAAGTCAGACTGTGGCCAAGAAAGTTTCCCTGGTGGTTCAGATGGTAAAGTATCTGCCTGCAATTCAGGAGACCTAGGTTCAATCCCTGGGTTGGGAAAATCCTCTGGAGAGGGAATGTCAACTCACTCCAGTGTTTTTGCCTGGAGAATCCCATAGACAGAGTAGCCTGGTGGGTTACAGTCCATGTGATCACAAAGAGTCGGACACGACTGAGTGACTAACACTTTCACTTGGCCAGTTCAGTTCAGTTGCTCAGTTGTGTCCGACTCTTTGCAACCCCATGGACTGTAGCACACCAGGCTTCCCTGTCTATGTGATGCCTGGCCAAGAATCCACTTATTGTTTGACTACCTTTTGTATTCACTCTATAGAAAGTTGTGATGATACTGGATTTCTAGGTATCCATATTAGTCTGGATTTTCCAGAAATAAAAGCAATAGTGTGTAAGTGTGTGTATATATAGAAAAAGATGTGAAGGATTAGGCTCTTGTGATTATGGGGACTGGCAAGTCTGAATTCTGCAAGGCAGGCTGGCATGCTGGAGACCTAGGCAAGGGTTGATATTGTAGCTCAAGCCCAAAGACAGTCTAGAGGCAAAATTCCTTTTTCCTACAGATGACCCTTCTTTTTATTCTTAAGGCTTACAACTGATTGGCTGAGGCCCACTCAGGTAATCTGCTTTGCTCAAGGTCTTCTAATTTGAATGTTAGTCATATTTGAAAAAATGCCTTCACAGCAACATCTAGACTAATATTTGATCAACCATCTGGGCGCTGTAGTCTTGCCAAGCTGACACATAAAATAAAATATTACAGTATTGATGCCAAAAGTCAGATCCTATTCCAATAGTTTTCAAAATGTATTGCTATTTCTCTTTCCTCACTATACAATCACTCAAGCAAATGGCTCAGGATCCCTTTGGGAAAGGTCTGGGGAATTTGAGTATGTATTTTGTGTGGTATTTCTGGTCCTTCTTCCTGAAGATAGCCACCTTTTTATTCAGTGGTGCACTAGTTATCAATTTATTACCTCTCAGCTCTAAATTTACACATTAGTACTTATTCTATGCAGCCTGGCGTGCTGCAGTCCTTTGGGTCACAAAGGGTCAGACATGACTGAGCGACTGTACTCAACTGAACTCACTCTATGAAATTGGATGGAAAGCTTCCTTTTAAGCATTTGTTCTTTACAGGGAGCAAAATGCTACGTTTTCTCGGTAGAGGGCATTAGAGTGACACTGCAGGATAAAAGGGCTTCTTTCACTAGTTCTAGCTGCTGTGCATGGGTCAGTGTCTTGCTTTGCCCAGCCTGCTCCCAGAACGAATCGCCCCAGCTGAGTCTGATGCTCTTCCTGTAACTCTCTCAACACAGATGCTGTGCCCTCCAAACATCTTACCTGCACCAGCCCCTCAGTCCTGCTGGCTTCTACCCCTTCCCCAGAGGTTTGTCTCCTACATCCCTGAAAAATGTGTGACTTTCCTGATATACTGTGGTCTCCAGACATCCCACCTCCACACTCCATTTACAGGCCACTCACACTCCCAAGTGGTTGTGTCCCCGTTTGCCCAGTTCTGGCCTGGGAAAATCAGCACACGCCTCTGCCACTGTGTGTTGCCACTATACCTTTCCCAACAAGATCCAAGCCCAGTCTTCAGGAGAGGACTCCCTTTGTACAAGTTTGTCTTTTCTTGGGTACCTTCTCTCAGCACTAGGGTACTGACACCTTATATTTAGTCTTTTATTATAGCTTGACTATTCTTAATATTGAACCTCCCCTTTTCAAGTCAGGGCCTGGTTTCTGTGTCTTAATTGGACTTAGACTGATATAGAATGGGAATGTTCCCAGAAATTCAGGATTTGGGGATTGGATTGATCATGGGCTTGAGTGCTAGTGCTGAGCACGCAGCTGATGGAAAATAGGATGCTAGTAATGCATGACATGCTGTGGCATCACAATTAATCCAGCTGTGGTTGATTGTGATGAAAGGCCAGATAGAGCACATGCCTTGGAAACTTGAGTGTCTACTGTGTTTGACCATTGTGGCAGTCATGACAATTAGAAGGACTGTTTTGGTATGGGATGGATTCTTTTGAGAGCACGTCAACATTTATAGAGGAAAAGTGACAAACGCAAGCTAACTCTAATCTCCCTTGTTCAGGGAAGTAGCTTTCTCCTATACCCTGTGCATGCCAACTGTCTTGCCTATGCCCCAGAGGGTTGCTTCCTGCTTTCCCAGTGACTATGGACCAGCTGGGTCTGGGAAATCAGAGAATTTTTCATCATCTAGTGGACTGCTGCTACACATTCTCCAGTGAGGTAGGACCTCCTATACTTGTTTGTCCTTTCTTGGTTACTCTCCCTCAGCCCCAAGGTATATTTATATCTTATACTTATTGTTTTATGATAGCTTGAAAATATTTTGTATTGAACTTTTCTTGTTTAAATCACACTGATTTAAGGACTCAGATGGAAAAATCAGACTCCAGGTTTGGTATCTGCTGCAGGTCCAGAGACGGATCAAAGAATCACCCACTTTTACTGAGGCCTTGTTCTCTCAGCTCTGTTTATTCATTCTTGCTTTCTTTTGATTAGAGGCATAAAGAACTGTGACAGATTTTCTTTTCTTGGGTTCCAAAATCACTGAGGATGGTGACTGCAGCAATAAAATTAAAAAAGATGTTTGCTTCTTGGAAGAAAAGCTATGACAAACCTAGACAGTGTATTAAAAAAGAGACATCACTTTGCCGGCAAAGGTCTGTATAGTCAAAACTATAGTTTTTCCAGTAGTCATGTATGGATGTGAGAGTCAGACCATTAAGAAGGCTGAGTGCCAAAGCACTGATGCTTTCAAAATGTGGTCCTGGCAAAGACTCTTGAGAGTCCCTTGGACAGCAAGGAGATCAAACCATTCGATCCTAAAGGAAATCAACCCTGAATATTCATTGGAAGGGCTGATGCGGAAGCCAAAGTTCCAACACTTTGGCCACCTGATGCAAATAGCTGATTCATTGGAAAAGACCCTGATGCTGGGAAAGATTGAAGGATAAGAAGCGGGCGACAGAGGATGGGTTGGTTGGACAGCATCATTAACTCAATGGACATAAGTTTGAACAAACTCAGGGAGATAGTGAAGAATGGAGAAATCTGGCATGCTGCAGTCCATGGGGTCACAAAATTTCAGACATGAATGAGTGACTGAACAATGACAACAACAAAAATTGATTTGAATGCTATAATTTCTTTTAAAAAATTATAATTATGAGTGGAGTACTTATAATACATTAAGTGAAAAAAAACAGAGTAGAAACTTACATTCATATACATACAATGATAATTAATTTTTAAGACTCAAAAGCATAGGAAATAATATTAGAAGGAAATACTGTATACTAAAATGTGAAAAGTGATGGTACTTATGTAGTGGGGAATGGGTAATGTTTTTTCCCCCTATTCAATGTGAGTGCTTTCACTGCCCCAGCCCAGCCCCAATCTTTGGCTGGGAACCCAAGCCCCATTCCAAGCCATTGTAGATTGAGGCCATAGGCGATCAAATGTTTTTGAACTGTGGTGTTGGAGAAGACTCTTGAGAGTCCCTTGGACTGCAAGGAGATCCAACTAGTCCATCCTAAAGGAAATCAGTCCTGGGTGTTCATTGGAAGGACTGATGTTGAAGCTGAAACTCCAATACTCTGGCCACCTGATGTGAAGAACTGACTCATTGGAAAAGACCCTGATGCTGGAAAAGATTGAGGACAGGAGGAGAAGGGGACGACAGAGGATGAGATGGTTAGATGGCATCACCGACTCGATGGACATGAGTTTGGGTAAACTCTGGGAGTTGGTGATGGACAGGGTGGCCTGGCGTGCTGTGGTTCATGGGCTCGCAAAGAGTCGGATACGACTGAGCAACTGAACTCAACTGAACTGAGAGCAAATGTTCCAGGTAATCTGTACTTTGATAGTATATAAAAGCCAACATGTAAATATACACATGCATACATACGGGTAGGTCTTCCCCTCAGTGCCTTGGTTTCCTACTGTGTAAAATGAAAATTTTGATAGTATCTGACATACTGATGTGGGTTTCTCAGGTGGCACTACTGGCAAAGAACATGGCTGCCAATGCAGGAAATATAAGAGACACAGGTTCGATCCCTGGGTCAGGATCCCCTGGAGCAGGGCACAGCAACCCAATCTTACTATTCTTGCCCAGAGAATCCCATGGACAGAGGAGCCTGGCAGGCTATAATCCATATAGTCGCAGAGTTGAACCAGACTGAAGCAACTTAGCATGCATGTATGCACATCATACTAATACATTGTGTGAATTAAATGGGATAAAGTGTATTTAAGCATTTAGCCGTCTCATGCCTTGAACATAGTCAGTACTTCCCCCCCGCCCCGCCCCAACAGGACCACTGTTGCTCTTGTGCGGAACAATTTATTACACTGTATTAAGAAACACTCCTGAGTACCACCCATTAAATACATATAACAACCTCTAGTCATAGTGACTACTAAAAAATATTATCTCATGTTTCTAAATATCTCTAGTTGAAAACCACATGTATAAGAGTTATGGATCTGGAGGCACAGGAATAGATATGAATGTAAAGGCTCTTTAAATCCTTTACATTCAAAACCAAACAGGAAAAAAATCAATGTGGTTTAGTGAAAAATCACAGGACTAGAAGTGAAAAGATCTGGGATTAAAAAAAAAAAATTATTTATTTAAACTAAGAAACAAAAACAAACAAAAACCCAGAAAAACAAAAAACATCATCTCAAATCTGGGATCTTGGTCTTCCTTTATTTTAAGCAAGTTCCTTAGTGTCTCTAAAATACTTTGCTTCTTATAAAATGAGGTCCAAACTACAACTGAGAGCACTTCTGACTCCAAGATTTGATAATTTTTATGCATTAAAGGAATAATTCTGCTGAGATACCTTTTTTTGTGTGGCAAAGGTAGACACTCAGACCAGTTTCGCAACTTGTAAATTACAGAGGGGAGGAGTGTAGATTTTATCACCCTTCCTCCTATTTAGACATAAATAATCTAGAGGTCAGATGACAAAGCCTAGGAAGAATGTCAACAGCCTCCCCAGCTTTTTCAGATGAAGATTTTTATTGGTCTGCATGAACTCACAGTCTTGTGTTTTCCTCTTTAGCTCTCTTTCTGTTTGGATGACTCTGTTTGCCTGGTTTAGAATACTAAGCTTCCTTTCTCATTTGCCTATGCATCTTAGAAATCTGAGCATTTCAGTTAGTTACTGAATGTGAAGCGTTAATTCTTCATGACAGCATGTAGTTTCTAGGGAGTTCTCTCATTACATTGCTGAAATGTAAAACTCTTACTATGAATTGATTGTCTTATTTGGGACTTCATATACATTCTTTGGAGGGCTTCCCTGGTAGCTCAGATGGTAAAGAATCTGCCTGCAATGCAGCAGACCTGGGTTTGATCCCTGGGTTGGGAAGATCCCCTGGAGAAGGGAATGGCTACTCATTTCAGTATTCTTACCTGGAGAATTCCATGGACAGAGAAGCCTGGTGGGCTACAGTTCATTGGGTCTCAAAGAGTTGGACATGACTGAGTAACTGACACTTTTCCTTTCATGCATTCTTTACTTAATCTGCCCAGAAATAGAGCAAAGCAGAGCTAGTCTCATTCTATGGACCAGGAAACAGGGACAGGGAGATGAAATAACTTGCCCATGATGACACATGCTAGTAAATAGTTCAGTCTGTCTGATTCTGTATAATCCTAATATTGACAGTAATCAAATGAATCATTTAGGTTGTTCAAGGTAGACATCACTAATCCTCCAAATTTAAAAATAAAATAGAAATGTGTCCTATTAAGGGTTAAGAAACTTCCTCAAACCTTAGTCCTAATATTTTCTCCTGTGTCTCCTGCCCTATTATAAGAGAATCTGTATTAAATCTTAAAACTTAAATAACTACTGATTATCCCAGGAGAATGACCTAGAAAGAATATTCAAGAAAAGACACAAACTTTTACGTGTGATTACCTTGAGGCAGTGACTTTATTTTTATGCCAGCTCACAGATTAAGGCAACAGACAAAACATTTTGCCCAGATTCAGTCATAAGATGAATCTTCTTTATGACTATATTGCAATCTGGGTTAAAAAAATGGTAAAATGAATTTAAATAATGCTGTTTAAAAAAAAAAAAGAAGAAGACCTGAAAAAAAATAGCCTCGTCTTTCTCATAAAAGATCAAGTGACTGTAAAGTGACTTTGTGTAGACCCTTCCTTCTTGTTACTATGGGACCACCATTAATATTGTTAAGCTTTCTCAGTGGGCTCACCAGGATCCCATGTCCCCACGTGTCTGCCTTCCCATGGGGATCCTAGATGAAGTTCTTTTCCTGGTGCTCCAGCTGCTGCAGGCGTCCCTGCTGTTTTGGCACTTGCTCGGCTCATTCTGAAACTGCTATTGCTTCCCTTGCTGGTATCATCAGTCATGCCTGGGAATGGAAAAAGTGTCCTCTCCTTCCAGCATTTATGGGTTTGTATTTGGCTCACAAGGGGCTTTATCATTTTTTCTCCATTGGCTGGAATGAAACACATTTGACGGTGATTCAATGTCCTTTTTTTTCTTTTTATTTTGTTCAGTCTCTCAGTTGTGTCCAACTTTGTGACCCTATGGACTGCAGCGCGCCAGGCTTCCTTGTCCTTCGTCATCTCCCTGAGCTTGCTCAAACTCATTCCATTGAGTCGCTGATGCCATCCAACCATCTCATCCTCTGTCATCCCCTTCTCCTCCTGCCTTCAATCTTTCCCAGCATCAGGGTCTTTTCTAATGAGTTGACTCTTCCCATCAGGTGGCCAAAGTATTGGAGCTTCAGCTTCAGCATCAGTCCTTCCAATGAATATTTGGATTGATTAAAACCATTCCAAATTGAACCCCAAGCTCTCTTAATTTTCTCTGACTTCAAGTTGATTTTACCTCATAGAAATTAGAGATGGTCTTTATCTCCCCTCGCTCCTTTTAGCTTGAGGTTTAAACACCCTCATGCTGGATTTCATGCAATCACATTTAAAGTTTACTTCATGCTTTCTCAAGAGCCCTAGGATCCACAGCAAATATCTGTGAGCATCTCAGGGAAAGATTTTTTTGTCCTAAAACCTACCAAGAATCAATGTTCAACTGATGTTCATTTTAATGAATGGATGATTTGATGAAGCATAGCTGTTACGTAAGCATAGTAGTTATGCTACATAAGTGTGGGGCACAGTCCATGGGTGCGAAAAGAGTCATACATGGCTTAGCAACTAAACAACAACAATA